AAAGGAAAAGAAAAGAAAAGAAAGAAAAATGCCTCAAGCATGATCTTACCTTGCCAGCCAAATAAATCATCAATGTGTCAGGGTCATAATGTATAAATGGCACAGAATTGGACTGGTCAATTTCCTCTAAGGCCAGATTTTCCAGAGTATCCTGAGGGGGACAAGAACATTTTGAGTGGGTTTTGTGACAAATTTTCAAGTCAAGCAAATTTGAGTTACTCTTGATATTTAGACAAATTTTCCTAACCTGTGAATACCATAGGAAATGCATGGAAGCCTGCAGGGAAAACTTGCATACTGATGTTAGGGTGTAAAGGATTGACAATTCTGGTGGAACTCATTTTGCAGGGCTTCAAATCACTTTGATTCACATCCAAAGGAATCTAAATGGTGTTCTTTAAAATGAAACCCACACTAACCGCTTTCCAAACTGCATACTGCCTTGCACTCATCTTTGAAAATCCAACAGAGAAAATGTAATTCAATTCACTGCAAAATGCCACTCTCTGAGGCTTGGCTCCCTCATGGCCTGCTTGTTCCTACAAACAATAAAAAGACAACATTTTGCATGATATACCTCTGTCACAGACTGTTTTTAATCCAACAAGCCCTGCCCCAAATGGAAAAACTTAAAATTTCTCCAGATGTGTGTTGAGTTTCAGGGAAATCTTGAGGATAAATCATGCACCTTTCTGTAAGATTCATGCATCACATACTATTTGGCCTTAATCACACGTCACATATAAAACCTATGTCACCCTTAATGTACTCAATCATGCTTTCAAGCTAAACTGGAATTTAATGGGATAGAATTTCATCCCTACATGTCAAGACATGATGTTATATCATGACAAGAAAAACTATATGAAAAAGAAAACCCTTTAAAATGTATTTGTCTAAATCATATTTAAAAGCACCTTAAAAAGTTAAGTGAAGTCTTAGTGAAGCCAATTTGTACAAAAAAATGCTTGTGACACCACTTGTATGGTTATGAAAGAACTTCAAAATTATTTTATATCACTGTAAGTATAGTTCAAATGGCAGAATAGGCTAAATCATACTCACACAAACAACTTCATTTTTTCGCACATCAATGATTCTTATCTTCTTGTCCTTACAAGAGGTGACAATTCTGCTCCCATTGCTGTTCCATGAGACAGATTGAATTAGATCTGGGTGACAGTCAATTTCTATGGCAGCTTCTCCACTATCCAAGTTCCAGATAACAATCTTGGGGTCAAAGCTGGCACTAAGTAGGACATTGGATGCCACAGGATGCCACAGGATCTGATGCACTTTCCTTTGATGAGAAAATCCTTCCAGGCTTAATAAGGGTTCGCACTTATCTACTTTGCCAAGGCCCTCATCCTCAATTTGCCAGATTTTAACAGTGGTATCTTCTGATGATGAAGCAACCATGTTGTCATCAAAAGGATTCCAGGCAACATCCAACACATCTTGTGTATGGCCCGCCACTCGGCCATGTTCAGGATCCAAGCGCCCCACCTAATAGTGCAAAATGTGAATGTAATAACAACTGTAATCATAGCTGTAATTAATTATCTCCTAAAGTCCAACAGAGATATCAATAAGCACTTTATGAATGGCCCCTAAGGGTAAAAAAAAATGCATTTTTCTTACCCTTGTCTCTTAATTTTCCTCAATAGGGGTTGGGCAGTCATGTAGAATTTCTTACAAGGGTAGTAAACAAAAACTGTTTGGCTGCCATGACTGGAAGAAAAATTCACTTCACAATGGCTTTCACAAAAATTTGCTCTGGTTCTAAAGATTGAATTGAGTCAAAGGTCAAGTTGTTATTTCCAAGGGAGTTAATGAGTTTTAGTAATCATAGGGGTTGGTGAGGTTTCACCTAGGTCACATGACATTATCTCCTCCAATTAAAAAACATATCTGAGTTTACCCTTTCACCCCTTAGAGTGACTTGTATCTAATTTCTCTCCACAATATCACCCCTGATTCACACATCAGGGTTACAAGAATAAAGGAAATGATCACCAACAAAAGAAGCTCTTGATTGTCAAACAAATTTTTTCTTATCAGCACCTGAGGGATCATATGAGGAACAATGTAGAGAATATACATACTGATGTTAGGTTTTACAATCAAGAATATCAAATAAACTATTAACTCTTTAACTCCCAGAAGTGATTAACATAAAACTTCTCCCTACAATATCCATACATTCTTCAGCAAACAGGTAATGAGAATATTCAAACTTATCAGGTAGAAGCTGCTATCTTGATCTAGCACCAAGTTGTCATAACTAATTTACAAGGAAATGTGTAGCAGCTACAGGGGAGGATTAACAATCAGATCTTGGGAGTTAAAAGGGTTAAGGCCATGTTCATTATACATCCACATGAGCAAGTTGCCTTCTCACTCACAGAGTTGAAGCACAATAGGCTTATTAGCTTTTTTTTCTTTTTTTAATTAAGTTCTGTTTAGTTTTGTTGAGATTAATTGGGTTTCAATTATTTGAATGTGGAAATTAACAGCACAAAGAAACAGGAAGCCTAAATGAAATAAAAGTGTGTTAACTGACAGGTGAGTCAGTCCTGAAACAACACATACATGTAACTACAAGAGACAGAAGGGGGGCTAGTTATGGGGTTACAGGAATATAAAGGGCGGAAGGAGACTTGATCCAGGAAGGAAGAGGATACCTTCAGTTTTATTTTTCTGTAGAGCATTCCTAAATGCATAATGTAGCAGGTTCTGAATATTTTATAATTCACATCCTCGTAAAATAGCTATCATATTTTGAAATATTCAGCTTGCTGCATTTATAAGGGCCCTCCTTACTTCCTCACTTCCTCGTCACCCAGATTTTCTAATGGAGGCTGAAATTTTCAGTTTCAACGCTTCTCAGCATTACATAAGCTCAACGAACAGCAAATACAACGAAATTGGCATCTGCATATTACAGGGAAGGAAAAAAATCAGAGTTTTCCGGTGCAAACACTACAACACCACTTGGGAGGAAATAGTCCGCTTGCTCATAAAATTGAAAGCCTACCTCGTCATGTCGCAGTACAAGGAAGGCACCACCACCAGCAGCCTTTAAAATGATGGCAAGAAACTTAGGGTTAACCGCACAGTATGCCGAATCGACGGAATTTCCTGAAACTTGAAATCCTTCGTAGCACTTGTCTTTTTTCGCTGCTGTGCCGAACACATGCCGAAATTTTGATGATCTCACGAACTTCGCCATTTCTGTCGGTACTAAATACCCTCAAGAAACTATCTTTGGTACTTTTGCTGATCACTCAAAACAACAAAAATCCAGGACAGCGATCACAGAGAAGCTGGCGGTAACGTATGCAGCAGGAAAGTAATGGCAGATTGAGGGGAGGGGCGCATTAGAGGCCTGGTTATAGTCACATGATCAAAGCTCCTAATTTGAGTGTCTCATTGGAATCCCTCTCAGTTGGATCCTTCCTTAACTTCTTGGCGCGCTGTTGAAATTTGCTCCTAATAATTTAGTGTCTCATTTGAATCCCTCTCACTCAGCTCCTTCCTCAACTCCTTGGCGCGCTCTTGAAATTTGCCATGAGTATCGACGTGTTTGCGGTAATAATTTTTTCTTTTGAAGTAATTTTAAAATTTATCTTTATTTTTTTTAATTATTCGACGATCAAGGACTTAGTGCAATTCAAGCTTTGTAAGAGGTGCTCTGAAACGTAGCTCAGTGCAGAATTGCCTGAACATGCTGCTCAAGTTCCAACGGAATGAGTTTATTATGTCTTGTTGTCATCGCCTAACTTATCTTGTTTGATTGAGACTGAAAACGTAAGGTATTCTCCAGAAAAAGATATTTTCTGCCATAGAGTTTTAATCCTTAAAAACCCAGGTTGGTCTATACATGTTCTCCAGAGTTCACTCTGTTTTGACAACGTTTTACCATAGAGTAAGACGAGGGAAGCTTTGCAGAAGCCCTTATGTGAAAGATGTGAGGAGATTGAAAAGTTAATCGAGTCCTCTTCTGCGCAGGTACCGAGAGGTTCATTTTGATTTCAGTTTTAAATGGTGAATATTTGTCCAGATGATCAAAGTTAATTAGTTACTTATAAAGAGTTAACCATGCACGGGATCCCATGCCAATTCTGTCCTTGGCAAAATTTCCGCACAGCCCCATACATCATTATACATCCATATATGGGGCTTTATTATTCAGTGTATCACCAGTAAGATGTACATGCATAATTAAGTATGGGGCTGTGCGGAAATTTTTCCCTATCCTTCACTGAGTTTACAATTTCTTTTCTTTCAAACTCATTATTTTACAATTATTCACCTCAGGCTCAATGAATGTTATTGCATTTGTCTCAGGATTATTCAACAATATTCACTGACTCTAGCCCTGAGACGATTAATTGTTTTAGTATAATTGCTCAGGTGCTTTCTAATTCTGTTGTAAATGATGGTTTGATGTTGAAACCATTCTTTTCCAATTGTTTTGATCGTACGTAACAAGATAAAGAGCCAGTTTGCACTAGAATTTTATAGGTTTGTGTAATTCAATTACTAAAAACTTCATATCTTTCTTTTGAAAAGTGTTACTCCAAACTTGATTGCATCTTTTGTGCTCTTCGGAATTGAATTTTCTTGATTGCTTTCATCACCTCCTCAATAACACTTGCAAAAGCAAGGCATCAATTTTGACCTTTAGCACTTCTGCTATAATCACCTAGCTTGGGCCTCGGACATTTTCACTTGGTGTAGAGCTAGGAGAAAGCATTTTAAAAGTGATAGCCTATCTGCTTCATTATGTATATAGTTCTTAATCAAAAACAAATTGATCCTTTTTAGCATTTTATTGTATTACTAAAAGATATTGCCATTAAAATATAAAAAACCAACAACAATGACAACAGAAGATTGATTATAAAAAAACAAAAACTATTCACAACCATGTGTAAGAGGTCTGAAAGGCTGTAAACACATGTAGGGGACAGCTATAATGATCATTTTTGTCTTTTGTTCCAGAATCTTCATGGATTCTTTCCACAACTACTCAGTAGTATTTTTGGATATGCAGGCTCAGCTGATTGGGGTCTTAAAACTCTTTCACGTGACAAGAAAGACTTTGCTACAGTACAACAATTTTTATCACCTGCTGGTCCAGTTTTTAAATTGATTGACATGTTGCAGGCAGATGACCTGAAACGTTATGAATTCTTTATTAACTGCCTTCCAGTAAGTGTCAGCACCTTTTAATGTTTGTTTGCTTGTTGGTTTTCTGGTGCAGCTGTAAACATTTGCTTATCAATGTTTTTATTCACAGTGATTACTATTAAAGCTAATTATGGATAGTAGGAAGGTACATAACAGAATAAATACTAGCTAACTTCACTGCACGGAAATGAGAGAATTTATGATATGACTTTGATGTAATTTACACCATTGTTCAAGGACATGGCAGGGCTGTGCACTAGCAGAGCAGAGGTGTCACAGGGTCAATGACACACTGTACAACTTTGTTTTTATGGAAGCTTTTGAGAGCATTGTGTTCTAGTTTTCTATGATAAGAGTTGTCAGCTGTCTGGTGATTCTTGGTAGAAATCATTTCTTTGTACCTTTGTTACCAGAATTAAGATTATGTCATTTCCTTACCTTTCACAGTACGAATTTGCTCTTTTGAACTTTAACTGGATGTTGTAGTTGATACAAGTTTTTTCCTCTTTCTAGTGGTATAACCTTGTCATATTTTCACCATAGATTTCAACACAGAAATCACTGTCAGAAGGTATGATTCCTGTTTTGTACCGAGACAAAGTACCAGTCAGAACTCCTGGTGAAACTATGAACACTGTATTGCTTAATATCCTTCATACAATTGACATTTTTAAAAGTAATTTTTACAAGCACCGCCAGAAGGCAGAGGAAATTGTTTAACAGGCAACATTCACCCAAGCCTAACTACAAGGGGTTTGCAGATAGATGCCATATGATAAACTCAACTTATATGAAAGTCAACTTTTTCATAGTTTCATGTTCTTGGTTAACCTCCATAAATTGGATCTGTAAATGATGTGTGGTGAACTCACATTTATTGATTTGGGAAAGATTGTATCAGGAAATTCATATGTCTTCAAAAGTGAAGTAAAAAAATTACATGTCATGAAAAGTAATTCACATGACCAATTCATAAGCCTTCTAACCCATCTAACCATTTAAATCGGATGACAGAATTTCCCCTTACAATATCAATACAATATCAAGCAAACAAGTGATGAGAATATGAAAAGTATCACTTAGGGTATTGGTAGTTGATCCAATAATAAATTCTCTCAACTAACAGAATCATAAAGCAGACAATAAGGAGGATTACCGATGGAATTTTGTGAATGAAAGGGTTAAGGAAGTGTTTTTTCTTAACCAGTGTGTATGCATCTAAGCCGGTGGGAACATTGGGAATTTATATATTAATAATAATAATTTATGAAATAAAGGATTAAATTGTTGCTTAACTTTTTCAAGATACCTTTGAATACTACATGTTTCATTTTGCTTACTACATTCTGCATCAGAAAGTCAATACAGTAAGTATGGAATGTTGACTGATTAGATGTTACGAACTGACAACAGATATGCCTACTGGTAATTACAATACTGTATCTATATAATGATATCTTTGCATTGCTTTTGAGCTTGTGTACAGCTGCCAACAATCTCCTCTCATAAGTCCTTTCTCATAGTACTTTACTTTTGGTTTATGGTCAAAAAATATATTTTCAAAATTTTATAGTGTGTTTCTAACAATGCTTGTGTTCATAACTGATAACTGTAGGAGTCTAGCGTCATGGCAACCCAGGACTTTCTGTACTTGGTAGTGTTGGATGACTATCTTAACTTTTTTTTGCCATCTGATGGAGCTGCCATCTCACACAGTACTGTCAAGGCCAGGTCACCTACTAGTTCAGTGAGGAAATCTGCAAATTGGTGAGAATTTTAGGAGAAAAATTTTTTGGCTTAACAACTGCCTCCTGGAATATGCAACCCACCCAAAATGGCTGGTGAAATTCACACTTAACTATCATGCACAGCAGTTTTTTTTATATTTGTCTTCTTTCAGGGAGGTCGCAATACATTAACATGAACAGTGACAATTACTTTTATTTTGTGTCTTTCATTTGTTATTGTTACCAATGACCTTTGCTGTTATTTTTGCACAGGCATGAACCAAGTTTGTACACAAGGACCCAGTATTTTCCAAACCAGTTCCCAGGCATGATTAAACCTTCCTCTGGCAGAGTTAGTCCACCCAGTGCTCACCATGGAATGTTTGATCGCAGCTCACAGGAGATATGGAGATCTGAAACATTTATACAGGTAAATTATGCCTATATTGGTTTGCCAGATGTCCATCTTTTATTTCAAACTAGATCTGCCTGATGCATTTTTTCAGTAGTTGTGGTTACTATAAGTTAATTAACAAACTTTCTTTTCAAACTCTCTGGGAAAATTATTCTCATTAAAACCATTTGAAACACTAAGTACAAAATGAGCTGATTTAAAAATACATAGTAAAAGTCAAATCTTTGAACATTAAATTGAACAGTAATGGAGTTTTATCTCTGATTTGTAGATACTCATAGAATTCTGGTTGAATCAGAACACAGTGGATTCTGTTTCAAGAAATGTTCTCTCCCATGGTCAGGTGCAGTAATTTATTCTAACTGTGTACACTGTAGTGTAGTCGTTATAGTTTGTGTGTTTCGCCCTCAACTTTGTTGTAAGAGATAAAAATGCAAAATGAGAACATTTCCCTGCAGCCATCTTGACCAGCCAACTTTGGTCTATGACAGATTATTAAATTGTTAAAGTGACATTATTGGAACAACATTACTGGGATAACTTGAAAACTCAATCAAACAAAGCAAGTCTCTCTCCAAATTTCGTAGGAGATTAAGTGATACTGATTTTAAAGGGTGCTTTTGTTACTCCTTCTCATGAATTTGAGTGATCATTTTTATTCGTATATACTTTTCATAATCTGATACATCTATATACTCTATTAGGATCCTTGTATATTTTAGATATTTTCATATATATTTTATGCTTTATTTTTACCTATTTTCTTACATATTTTTTTGTTTTGTTGTGGAGCCTTTTATACATGAGCCTTGTTGCTTGGAAGACCGCTTTCCACATCATCGTCAATAGATAGATTAATACATTGTATTACAAGTGGACAAAAAAAATTTAGCAGAGAAAAATTGTTATGATCCTGACCTCAGGACATAATTTTGATTTCATCAATGTGACAGTAAATGTCTCTCAAAAGCTACAGTGTATGAAAACCAGCTTTAAGAAGTACTTTCTAGCTGAGCCTTCTCTGCCAACTTGTGACGTGAGCTAGTCAGAGAAATGGCTTCTGTTGATCTTGTCCAATTGTAGAGCCAGCCCCAAAATCTATCATGATTGAACTGTTTTAATGCTCAATCAATAAAACTCTAATAGTAGGCTTTAGAAAGAATTGTTTATGTTTTCAATTTTCAGGAGTATTTTATGCCTACATTAGACCATGTGCGAGTGGTGAGGATTCTAGTGAAGCATGTTCATACATTTGTGTATGCCAAGGTGTCTGATGTTGCTCAGCTCTCTGTATTACACCCCTCAGATGAACTGAGAAGGTAGAAGATTTTTCTTGACTTTTTGTAAATGTAACCTCAGTTAAACCACACTATTAATGAGGCATTTGAAATTGAATAATTCTCTGCCTAAATTTTGATTGCCACAGCTATTACTTATTGAGATGTAGGTGTTATGCTTTTTTTCCTAAATTTGCAACATTTTCCTGCTACTACATTTCTTGATGAAAACCTTAAATATCCTAGACACCATCCACATACTTGTTTCCTTTGGTTTTTGTTTATATGAAGAAAAAGTTTGCAGGATGTTAGTAATATGGCTGATTCTTGTGCTATGTTTTAGCACTTAGCCAGTGTATGGAGGTTTTGGAAAAAAAACAGTAAAGATTTTTGCTCAACATTTGTGTATTATGAAGTCCTCTTGGATCTTTTTGTACATATCAAGGTGGCTAAAGACAGAACTATGTGGAAATTTCGCATTATCATACATGGGTGATAGATCATATTTCTCCTCAGAAAATGGCTCAGCAAGGAACTTCTCTCCCTCTCCTCCCCTAATGAATCCTTCTTTGTGTTTTTTCACATGTTGTAATATCAAAGGAGGGGAGAGAGAGGTTATGTTAAAAATATTTGGAGTTGTTGTGAGTTTTTCATTCAATCAGGTAACTTTTTAGCAATTTACTTGGATATGACTGTAATTAATCCATAGTATTTTTTTGTTTGTGCCAGGGTCATCGTTGTTCAATTTCTTCAAAAGAAGCTTTATTTTTTTCTATGTCACTGCTTTTCTCACTGGCCTCTGGATCCCTCCTTTAGATATGTGAGTGTCTTTACTTTCTTAATCTTTACACCCTCAGATCAGTATTCATATTCTCCATACTGTTCTCCATACATTTCCTATGGTACTGACATGGAGAATTTCAACAATTGAGAACTTCTCTTGTCCGTGATCATTTTCTCATATTCTCATGGCTTTAATTTGTGATTCAACAGTGATACTGTGAAGAGAAATAGGATGCCATCAAGGTTTAAGTGTTAATTAGTTCATTTTGTGTTATATACAAACAAAGCATGGTGAAGATACACAACTGTACAAGACATATTAATTGTTGACTCTGTCATGCCTTGCAGGTGTTGGAAACATGGCTGAGTTACATTCAGCCTTGGAGGTATTCAAAGTCCCAGCCTGGCTCAGTAGCATCTGGAGATGATGAGTCCAAAATGACTGCCAGCCCTGAATGGTAAGAGAAACAGATACTGTATTCAGGTGAATGCCACTGAAATTGCTTTGCAACTCACCTATACTCTGACTATGATCTGTTTGCTTCTTTGGATATAACTGAACAATATTGAAAATCGTTATCCAAGGATGTTTACTCATTCTCTCTCTAGATCTAATCTGCTCTGTTTGCCAAACACTTTTTCTTAATAATTTTTAAGATTGATACAGTTTCTACTCTTTGATATTTCCTCTCTTCTCATCACGTTTCTCCTTGAAAATGTATTGAATAGTGGAAGGAGAAATGACTTTATAGTCCATCCTTGGAGTGAGAAGATTATGATGAGAAGACTTCATTCATGGTGCCAAATTTTCTTGTACCTAAACTGAGAGAAATCTGGTCCAAGATTGTAAAGTAAATGCCTTTAAATACCTTTAGCATGATACATCTTGTAATCTCTGGAGGTGACTGTTTCTCGAGTTATTTTGCCACAATTTTCCAGTAGCCTGCTAACATAATCCAAATGTCCCAAGCATATGAAGTGTACATTATGTCTATTTTTTGTTTCAATTAGGAAATCTTTTGTTTTTGAAAACCTCCTGTTTTACTCTGCCTTGTTGTTTGAGTTTGTGTCTCGTGCTTGCCGTTTCAATCTGACATCATCTAAGGATGCTTATCTGCTTTTTAGGGTCATTAAGGTAAGGAGGCCTTTAAAGTTTGTATAGTGTCTTTTGATATATACCTCAGCTAGCACATGACTTCCTGTATTGTTATTTTGTGTAACTCTTACTTTACGATCTTGTTAGCCTACAACTTATTTCTTGTAAGTTTAACAAATTTTGAGATTAAATTTAAGGGCATTCATTTATAACATAACATCACATAATATTGAATATCAATATTCACAGGTATTTGCCCAACCTCATTTGGTGGATATGATTGAAGAAGGTTTGTATTACAATGTTTTACTACATTTTGTATATCTCAGTCTTTAATTAACTCTTTCCACCCAAGCATCAGCATGTTTATTCTCCATGCTGGTCTCTATACATTTCCTATGGCACTAACAAGGAAAATTTAGCTAAAAATCAAGATCTTTCAAGTTTGCGATCATTTCTATAATTCTCATGAGCCTAATGTCTGTTTCAGCAGTGATGGTTGAGTAAGAAATTAGATGCTGGTTAAAAGGTCAAAGAATGTTACTTCACCTCCAGTAACTGTGAGCCTCAAGCACGTGCGCTGAAATCTCTTTATGATTACCATACCAACTTCATTCAATTTCAAGCCTTTAATCTCTTTTTCACACCTTTCAAATTGATTTTTACTAATGTGAGGAGGAATTAGTTCTCTTATGTCTTTAACTCGCAAAACCAGATTGTTAATTCTCCCCTTAAGCTGCTACGCAATTTTAGGTCAATTAGTTACGAGAATTTGGTGTTAGATCAAGATAATAACATGTACCTTATAAGTTCAAGTAATCTCACCACCTGTTTGCTGGAAAAGGCATGGATATTATAGAGGGAAGGTACATGTGAGTCACTTCTGGGAGTGAAAGAGTTATCATCCAAGGTGCCAACAAGGTGCTGACAAGAAGAATTTGTCAAACAATCAAGAGCTTTTTTCACAGGTGATCGGTTCCTTTATCCTCCTGACTTTAATGTTTGATTCAGGGGTGGTGTGGTAAGGAGAAATTAGATGCTAGTCACTTGTAGGGGTTAAAGGGTTAAAAGTCTTATCTTGGTATGGTGTGATATTTCCATTTTTTTCTTCCTAATTACCTTCACAGGAGAGAAGGCATTTTTAAATCCATCTGGGAATCGCCATACTTCATCCCAAGTTAATTTAACTGCATTAAGCTCAGCCATTAAGGCTCACATTGTTGAGCTGGAAGGATCTCCAAATTCATTTAGAACAGTGTTCCATTTTCCAGGAGCAACAAAGGTAAGAGTTATTGTTAAGATCAAGATCTACATGACATCTCCTAACTTAAGGATCAGTAAGAAACTAAAATAAGGACAAGCGTTTTCCATAATGCAGATTTTCCCTGAACTTTAAAGGAACAAAGGGTGATTTTTTTTTGGAAAATGTACACATCCAACACTTTTCTTCTGTATAGCTCATAGTTCTTCTTGAAATGACAACCATTCTTAGTTAAAATTTGCCAATCAAAAACCACTCAAATTCTTTCTACACCCTACAAACCTTTCACAGAATCGTTTAAAAAAGAAAAGCTTATAAAAGTTTTTAAGAGGCAGTTTTATTCAATCTTTCTATGTGGTATCAGATGGGTGAACTTTACACAAGAGTGTTAGCTGCCCTTGATGAAGCAAAGGCTATGAATCAGACTGCTCAGGAATCTGAGGGCAACACAGGAGGATTTACAGGTTTCTTAAGAAATTTTCTCAAGCATGGTGCTTCACAAGGCGATGAGTTTGAAAGAAAAGCTGACAGTACGAAACTTTTGTCATATTTGGAACAGACCAGCAATTTAATGCAACAAATTGTCAAGGTTAGTCTGCAGATAATATTTGATATAGTTAAAAGAGTTACAACAAAAACCTCGAAATTTCCTAGTAGGTGGCTTAAATTAGAGTATACCAAGGGTCACAAATTTATGTTTGTTTTTCTTTCACAGTTAATGTTATAGCATTTTCTTTTGTAACTTAAAAAACCTATTTTTATATATGAAAAAGGGAGAATGCATACATGCAGCAATGTTCACATTGTTTCAATCTTTAATGCTTCTTGCCTTGAAATTGCAAATTTCTCTTTCTCCAAGGTTTCAGTCTCTGACTTGTTAATTGTGTCTCACTTAAAGGTGTACATTTATTGTTGTTGTTGTTGTTTTTGTTGACTTTGAAGCTTTCATTTGTTTTGCTCTAGGAAAATGATTTTGCACCTATGCAATTATTAAATTTATGATTAGTATTAACTCTGATTTTTTAAAATTAATCTTATTTTGAAAATAATTATGATTAAAGCGACAACAAAAAAATTGATAAAACTTCAAAATAGCAGTCTACATATAATGCAAGTTGTTGTTATGATATTTCTCCTTTTAGAATACAGAAACCATAGATGGTGGCATATTAAATAGTTCAATACAATGGGAAATCCCTTCATCAGTAAAAAGAAGCAGACACACATCTGCTCCTGGCTCTCAGTCTTCCCTCCCAGATCATATTGAGACAGAAAGAGGTCCTGTATTAACGCCTTTGGGAAGATATCAAGTATGTGAAAGATTATTGCAGGATGTTGATGTTTTTTGGTTTTTTTTTTTTTTTTTCAGCAGATGATATTATCACAAGCATGGGTTTTCATGAACTCTTTACTCCCTAGCATTAGTAGTCAAATCATCTACATTGTTCTCTTTACATTTCCTACAGTACTGACAAGGGGAGTTCAGGTGACATCAGGGGCTCCTTAAATTGGTGATCATTTATTTCATTCTAATGACCTTCACATTTGATTCGAGGGTGGTACTGTGAGAGAAATACGAAGCCAGTCATCCTTATGGATTTAAGGGTTAAGGGTTAAGAAATGGAATAGCAGGAGGATAGTGTAAAATAAAGTAAAAAGATAGTATACACCATGTCTGGAGGAAAAATAACTCAGGTCATCAAAATTTAAATGGAGAATTCTTCTGTGTTGCAAGAGAATTCTGTGACTGCCTGTGCTTAATAAACACCCTGAGAAAGAGGCAACAAAAGGTTGTTTCAAGTCATTATAACACCAAATGGGTTTGTTCTCTTCATTAGTACCCTAGTCTATGCATTGCTTGTTAATAGGATCTATACATTGAAAAATCAGTGATGGAGTGGTATCCCATCTAGGATTAGAGGCAATACTCTAAATGGTATTTTGCTACATGGACCAGGGGAAGCTGGGGCTGTATGAGCCTCTTGGCTCAATGACTGACTACTTTACCTTTTTAGATGATGAATGGTCTTCGCAAGTTTCAAGTGAGATACAGTGGTGATCCAGAGCTTACCCCAATTTGCAGCTTTGAAAATCCTGCATTGGTTCGTCTTATGTACAGGCTCTCCACACATCTAAATAAAAAGGTTGCAAATGTATCTGTAAACTTTTACAACTCAATTATTCTACTTAATATATGAAATACCTATCTTTCCTTTTCAATCATGGTTTAAATTGTCCTTTTTTAGAAATTGTTAGTAACAAGGCACTGCCATCGATGATTTCTGGGATAAAAAGTTTAGCCTAGTCTCTAGCTGTGATTTTTGTAGTTGTGATTGAGATGACTTATAATGAATTTCTGTTTTCACTAGAATTATTACCACAACTGTAGATCAATGAGGACCACTTAAAGTGTTACATACTCATACCTTTTTCTCTCACATTTAGTTTGGCAAATCCTTGGACAAGTTGTACATAGATTCAAGACTTTTCAGACAAGCTGCTTGCTTTTTCTCACCAGCTGTAAAATCTCTGTCCTCCTCTACTCCTTCAAGACAATCATCAACCTCCCCATCTCAGTTCCTGCAGGAACCTGTACAGTTGCAGATTAGCCTCAGAGTTTTTGCTTCATACCACACTTTATTATACCTGTTTGTACTGTGGCTTTTTTTTCGCTTCACATCCATGAATGTTTTTGTAGTCATTTTGTTATGGATTTTGGTTTTGGTAGCAATAGTGTTGAACCATTTAACACCTTGTCACAAGAAAAGCTTGGCGTATGGTAGATAACAAAGACACATTGTTAGCATAAGCACACTATAAAGCATGAAAATGCACGTAGCTGTTGCTGGATTATTGTTATTTTTCTTGATCTAAGAAATAACCATGAGTCAGATTAACATATAAGGGCCTGAGGTATTTTTCTAAAGTGCTACAGAAATTATCAAGAGAATTTTAAATCTCATAATTTTTAAATGGTTAAATGGTGAAAGAGGAGCAACAAGGCTCATGGCAACTCCATCTGTTTTGTTTTCCCTTCATCAATATTGCTTTTTCTCTCTAGAATTGTTAGTAATTCTGAATATTCTTTAAACTATCCAGGACTAAAAATAAAGTGTATGCTATAAGACAATGGTAAGGGGTTATAGAGAACGACAGCTTTAGGTCTCTCTGGTGTTGTTGACATGATAAGCAATTCTTTGATATTTGATAATGGAGCAATATTTTTAATGACCTTCCCACAAACCTTTTCAGTTATTCAAAAGTGACAATCCATTTTCAAGAGAGATCATGCAGTTGCTATAATTCCTTTATGACATACAATATCAATGATGGTGTCATAGGTATTCAATGGGGGGGCGGGGAGAGTGGGGTATCTCAAGGTGCCCAAGTAATTACCCGTTTAAGTTTACACCTTTTTGTGGGTGGAAGGGGGAAGGGGGGTACAGAATATAATAAAGTTGAGAACTTCTGAACGTGAAATTCATCTCCTTCCTGTAAATGAAAATTTCCCCCAAATATGACATTTGGTACATTTGGAGAGACCCCATATAAATAAAGTATTTTCACTAGTTTACTAATCATTGATGATGTAAGCAAATTTATTATTACAAAACAAGAGTGGAGAGCAGTAACACTACAGATAAACTTCTTTATATAAAGAAACGACTACACCGAGCTTGAAACATGTCTTCAGAGTTATAGGATAAAGGTCTTACATTGACCCTTTCACTTTCAGGAGTGACTAAGAAAGAAATTCTCATTACAATACCACTACGAAAGAGTGATGAGCGGAAAGAAAATTTTACTTAGGATTCGTTGATTTAATACCAAATTCTCATAGGTCTCACTGGGAGTGGGAGAGAGAAAGCCGGAGACAAGAGAGTTGAGACAAAGATTTTTGGAGTGAAACGTGAAGAAATTGGACAACTATGACAGCAGTAATCATTACACTGCACTGCCGATATCTTATGAGAACTTAAATCATTCTTGTCCTTTAACAACAGAAAATTTTTACTCCGAGAATGCATTTTATGGTGCATATAATTTATGGTTTGCGGGCAGAAGGGTTACACGTTGAGATTACAATCCACGAGGCACGTGCGATCGAGAACTTTGAACGAGCATGTGTAAATGAAAACGTGCTGTCAAAGAAAATTTTTTTCTTCTTCAAAAAATGTGAACAGATGACAAAAAAGATTATCGTAGTCGGCAGGATTCGAACCTGCGCGGGGAGACCCCAATGGATTTCTAGTCCATCGCCTTAACCACTCGGCCACGACTACTAACGCGTTAGATAATGGGTAAAACTATATATTTAAAACTTTTTTCATTTCAATGGGTAAATGCACTCGCGAATTAAGGAGTATTATTCTAAATCAGTTTTGCAAATCACTTCCATTAAAAACTTATTTTGAAGTTTTCTATTAGTATTGAAGGCTATTTCCACACTCCTTTGACTCGATCACGGCCTAAGTACAAGGCCAAAGTTAACCGTGTCGTCGTGTTGATCACCTGAGGTGATCAGTTCGCAGAAGCTTGATATTAAATCTTATATGTTATTTTTGGAAATGTGGTCTTCCATGAAAATCATTTTTCTACAAGAGGACGATTTTAACGAGTCGAAAAAAAGATTTTTAGTCGTTCCTTATTTCCAGGCCTCTTTCTGTAGTTATACCTTGTGCTAGACGTCAATGTCACGTGTATACAACCCAAGAAAAGTCCACTGGCCGCAAAGAAGTCTCAGTAATTTTAATTAAATGACTGAGCTAGTAAAAATGTCCAGATCATAATGTCAGCTTAGAAATTTTTACTGGTTTTTCTATAATCATAAGAAACGATGAGTCACGTGATAGTTTAAATTATTCATAACAGCCATTCTATCCGAGGAAACACCAAATCAATGAAATGTTGGTATAAATTTTAAAACTAGTCTAAAAACCTAACCTTGTTTTATTCAAAAGCAAAAACCAAGTACATTTATATATTGGTAAAAACCTTATTACAGAGAAATACTTAATCTTCTGATGAAATAAAAATCAATCTTCCCTCTCCGCCCCTCTTTCCTCTGCCATTGTTTTTAACTTCTTACTAGGTTTCTGCTCAGAGTCGCTGAATAACTGTATTTCGTCCTCTCTCAGACATGTTTTATACTTCTGTTGTTTTCTTTTTTGGCCCCATGTTATAAGAAAGCATACCGCGAAGTAATCCGCCACACACTAGTTCCATTTTCCGACTCGACATTTTTAACTTTAAATCAGGGGGCGAGAAGGTTCCTCTCCTTTTTAACTCGCAAATATGCGGTCTGTGCTTTTTCTTCTTTCATTCGCTCTGACGAAGGGCTAATGCTTGAAACGTCAGCTTAGGAACCCCCCCTCCCCACCGACGCAGCACCATAGTTTCTTTAGAAAATACCTTATAGTAAATTAGGGCTATGCTGAAAGTAAAGGTGCATTTATAGAATAAAATATATGTCGCTGTCTCACGTGCTATCAAGCTGGAAAACTTCGTCGTTACAGTCTAAGGTGTTCTCTGAAGAGCCTTTTTTTCTTCTTTTTTTTTCCTTAGTGTTTCAGGACTGGAATTAAAGTCGTGTCTAAATGAAACGTTTTCGTTCGTGGCTTGATTTGCATAACCTTCCAACTGCCTAATCCTTACTTAAATAATGTATCAAAAGGTTTAATGTATCCGGCCGGCGGTCAATCGTTGTTTTACTGTAATTCATTCGTCGTATCACGAAAAATTCCGGCAAACTTCAAGGCCCGTTTCATCCTGCGTATTTGTCTTTGCAAGGAATGTTGTCCTTCAAATGAGGGCCCCTTTCTCGCTTTGAATGAACTTTCCACGTTATTCGCCTTCCTTCGAAGTCTTCGTCAATGATGTGGTGAGCGTCTTTCTATATTCTACCCAGATAGGAAAACGGATTACTGAGATTTTATCCGTTGTCTCTGATTTAGCGGAAGCCCCTATCTATTTTTGCACTCTCCTATCCTGTGCTTTCTGTAGAGATCGCTGATGAACTCAAAACGTTGAAGTCGGTTTACAAATCTGCTATCTGGATCCTAAGGATTTAAAAGGAAATAAAACAGGGGCTCAGTGTGTTTTGTTGTAAGGTGTGATATGTTTGTAAATGGGCGTTGACCGCTAGTGACCTCGTAAAGAGAAGACTATCCTTGAATGAAAATCGTGAGAGCAAGAGGATATCAAAATGATTCACATTCGATTTTTCATACAATCAGATGGAACTAGAAGGCAGAACGCATTTATTCTTCATCCCGATAAACTCACCGTCAAATGGGCGAATGAAAGGGGTGACAGGGTGTGGTAGCGATGGACAATCCAAACGTTTGGTAACACCACGAAGTTATACCTTAAAGAAATGGAGAAAATACATGTTTTCCAATGAGTCGAAAAAAGATGATTGAGCGTGGCACGGGTGGATAAAGACGGGAGTGGGGGCTGGGTGATAAGGCCACCACCCCCCCGCCCCCTTCCCAGGGTTTTCCATACTTCATCTAAATACATTCAAGAAATCATCAAATTGAAGTTAATGAAATCGAGGCTCAGCTAACTTGCCCTAGCAGTGACAATTCCATCACGTGAGATATCTTGTTCATCCCGTAACCTTTGAACCTTTCGTCATATAGGGGCAGTTCGGGAGTCAGTCTGCAACGCAGATATTTCAGTCGAGGTTAGTAAGATCAAATAACTGAATAAGTTCTTCCAGCCGAGTATGGGGTTTCATATCTCACATGTGCAGTTATTGTTTTTCAACGACTTTTGACCAATTTTCAGGCTTCTTGCATCGTAATAGAACTGGTGGCACTACTGAGATTTTTAATAGCCTGCTTCAAGCGTTTGGTTAATAAAACGGATCGAAATAAAAAACGGCGCGATAGTGACAGCGGACAACCATCGCGCCGTTTTACTAACTGATCGCCTGGAACGGGCCAGGTTTTCATGAAACGCGCCAGAATTACTTAAGAATTATAACTATCTCTTTTAAAGACTCTTTGTATCCACGATCGTCCACGATGGATAAAAACTGACGGCTCTAATGAACACGTCAGGAGAAACTCTTTTGTTAAACCGAAGACCAACTGCCGGGTTCACACAAACTTTTCCTAATTGTGCAAGTTTAAATTGAGTGTCTAGTGAATTGAGTGAGTCAGGATTGCATCTGTTTCGCTTTCGTTCACTCTTTGATTGGTCCAGAAAACTCGCGCCACCTTCTCAACCAATCAGATGCCAAACTAAAACCATCGCGCTTGGTCACTAGCGTTTTCGCGCGCTTTACGAAGCTTGTTTGTTTTTACATAAGACCCACTTACCTACAAGGTATAGGCCATTTCACTTAAGGTGGGTAGATATTCGTAACCGTAACCCCCTATTTGGAAACAACTTAACTCCACCCAAACTTTGCTTTTGGTTTTACAACTGAAAAGCGCTCTACGTGGGCGCGCGTAGATGTAGAATTTCTCTTCGAGTTTTCAACTCGTAGCTCACTGGTGAGCGCAGCGAACGAGTGAGATGTCGAGTTGAACACGAGAAGAGAAATTCCATATCTACAAGCACCGTGTATTATTTTGTTTATCATATAAACACAGTAGCCTTTAGTGCAGGAAAATCCGACTTCATTAATGAATGAAAATAAAAGAATCGACAATCGTACAGTGCGTTGGCGCTAAGGCTCAAGACTGAAAAATGGGTTGAACCATGATTACAAAAACAACAATAGGCGTAATTTTCAATTTACGAAATTCTTATTTATTGACTTTGCCCATACCGACAGAAGAAGTCTTTCAGGTACACGGCCAAAATCGGCCTGTGGCAAAACTTCCAATTGTCGATTTTGCTCTCAGCTGCGAGGAATACCATTACCAATGCCACTGAGCACGCAACTTTCGCTTTTTCTTTTCGTATATTGGTTTTCTTCCCCTTCTAGGAAAGTTTGAACGTCACCGTCTGTGAACGATACGGATTTTTTAGTGTTTTAGCCGCCATGATCCGAGAAAGTTCCGACAAACTACCTCGTATTGAGAATCGTGAAGGCTTTGCCGTTCATTTATCAACCTGACCGAGTGGCGCGAAAGGCGAGTGACGTGTCAGCAGCTGATTGGCGATATCAAACACACGTGAAAAAATGTCGTAGTTTTTCACGTGTGTTGTTACGGCTTTTCTCAGTGCTGGAAATCCTTGTATAACACTGTAGTTTATATGATAAAATATGATACCACACCTCATAATTAGATAAGGCTCGTATTTGTCCTGATAATTCTTCACTTCGTACGACTCATTGCTGTGATACCACCGGCTGTAGTTAGTAGAACTGTGCGATAAGGGAGACTCGATTTTCCCTTCTGCTGTCAAGGATTTAGACGGCGAAAAATCTTAACGTTTCCATAATCTCACTCACTTAAAAATTCCAAAAGGATGAAAAAAACTTATAAACTGAAATGAAAACTTTAATAAGCGTGGAGATCGGTTTGGAAGCGGGCAGATGTATCTAGAGCTATAAAGGGTTAAAACTAAAATTTTCAAATTTGCCCAACTGAAATGTAAACGCAATGAGGATAATTTTTCTTTTTAAAAATCACCTCTTCGCGACGCGCAATCTTAGTGGCGGGAATCTGTTTTAACCAATCAGCATACAATGTTTCCCCGCCCCCTTTATGGGTGGGAAGTGTTTTGATCAATAAAATCGGGATCCTAATCAACTATGTCTGTGAGGATGCACGAAGATTGTGAACCGCGAGTGAAAAAAATAAAACAGAACCAGAGTGATGGCAATGAACAGGTGGACTTTCCCGGCACATGCATGCAATGCATAACGGCTTTGAGCAAACTACAAAGGATACTAAATGGCGCTAGTCTCTTCTTTCTTTTCACCATGTTCACAAGTTCCTCCTTTGTTTCTGGGAGATCCTTAGAGTTCTAAAAAAATTGCGAAACGAAACTGTAAATCTGCTAAAAACTGAAAAGGATAGATCTTTCAAACTTCTGGGAATAAAATTACTCGTACTGCCCTCGAATGGAACCTGCAGGGTTCCAGAAAAAGAGGCCGTCCAAAACAGTCTCGGAGGAGGATGAGGACGGCCTAATCTTTCAAACCTAAATGTTTACGATTTATTTAAATCACTTAATGAAATTCACATGCAAACAAACGAATACTAACCACGTGTCTGGCTCCATCAAATGCTGGGACCACAAACGCGACCCTCTTATCTGTACTGTTTCTGGTTTTATCGTAATCAAAAATTTGATTTCTGGATAAACGAAGAGAAAAATAGTGTCATGAAAAAGTACCAAACCACATTCGATGAGTCAATAGCAGTATCTGACCAACTGCGCACCTACCCCTCCCCTAACCCATCCTTTAGCCTAACATGTTATCAGTTGACTGCTGTTGGGACAGGGGAGGGCTAAGCGTGCAGTGTGAAAATTTTCTATTCCTTGTTTATGCGTTGGTTGATAACTCAATCAAAATATCGACAACCTTACCTTGCCATGATTTCTAGATCTGGCGAAGGAGCAAAATCCACATCAATGAGAAAAACATGCCGGGTTTTGACATTTCTGGTCGACAGAAAAAAGAGGAAGAAGAATATATGATAGTTTTTTAATCAATATTTTAATTTAGATTAATAAATAATAATTAATTTAAATTAATAATAATGGTAATTTAGACTGAATTGATTGTGTTCCCTCACTTTATTGCAATGTTTCTTAGTCTGTTGATCGGGTACAGCGGGCCCACCTGTTTAACAAATTTGAAAAAAGAGGAATCAAACAATGTAAGGGTAATTACGTTTAACTCTAATATAAACTTACAGTTAATTTTCTAAACATTTCACAATTCTTACAATGGCTACTGAAAAATCATTACAATGGTTTGAATAAGGTCGATATATTGTCTGAAAATGTACCAGGTTTTTATTCCGAGGGATCGAAAACAGAAACTGAGCTATTGAACAAAAGAGAAGTGAAAGGAGAAACACGTGATCAGGACATTCAGGTCGTTATCTGATTGGTGGAAAGCAATCCGAGGTTTTTACACCAAAGACAGAACATTTTCCATGACATTAAATGATCTAAGAATTCTAGGTCTGCAATGCGTAGAGAAATGGAACTCGCTCTACGAACATTAAGGCGTAATCAATTGTGAGTTATAGAAAGTCGATGAAACGACTTCTGTAAATAATGCATATGCGACTTACCTCGTTCCCGTATATTATTTCAACGGACACAGTGGAAAACTTGCTGAATATGTGAGTAGGTAATCGCATTCGAACCTCTCTCCTGAAAGAAAACTCATTTGAAATAAAATAAATAGCGATGAACTTTGTTTCTTTGTTTCTTTTTTTCTTTCAAACTATGAGAAAACTCATCAAAATTGTCGAAGGAGTCAGGTGACACCACGGAAGAAAATTTCTCTTTCGTTTCAGGGGGGCCACTGGTATTGTGAACTGTCTGATTCAAGAGATTAGAGATTCTCTTGTCTGTATTTAAAATCAAAGCATAGAGACCAAAACGTGTATGAACTAGTGGAAAACTGGATCGAATTTCGCCAATATGATCTGAAAAGCCGTTGATACATTTACAAACCAATTCATCTTACTTTTTGTTTTTAAGGTCGTCGTCGTCTTCCAGGAGTACGTATATTGCCACCGAAAGTGGACCTATAGGAGGAACAAAAAGACCTATGAGAGGAACCCAGGGAGAAATAAGAGGACCTATAAGAGGAACAA